CTGACGACTCCTGACGACTCTGACGACCTCGAACGCTGACGACCCCTGACGACTCCTGACGACTCCTGACGACTCCTGACGACTCCTGACGACCCCTGACGACCCCTGACGACCCCTGACGACCCCTGACGACCCCTGACGACTCCTGACGACTCCTGACGACCCCTGACGACCCCTGACGACCCCTGACGACCCCTGACGACCCCTGACGACCCCTGACGACCCCTGACGACCCTTGACGACCCCTGACGACCCCTGACGACCCCTGACCGACTGCCACAGGAGATCTTTGTCCGTTTTGACGCCCTGTCTCTGACCTTTGTTCGTGTGTTGAACGTATTGGTTTGTAGGGTGGATAGGCGGGAAATTTCAACAATTTACCCCACATATTCTGTTGAGCGTATTGCTTTGTGAAGGGGTTAAACCATGTTAAATCTATAACAATGACTCATATGCTAAACCTATTGCTTTGTAAGGTCGAGGGAGATAAGTTTCAAAAATGGCTCAAGATGCCAATGTTCTTCACATGTTCAACATATTGGCTTGCTGTAGGAGAAGGAATTAACGAATATAAGAATGATTACATTTCATTTTGTTCATATATTCAACGTAATAATTTCCAGGGGAAGGAAAAGACACCTTAAACATGGTTCATGATGCCAAGCTGTTTTATATGTTGAACGTAGTGTTTTGGTTGGGGACAGCGGGGAAAAAACATAACAATGACTCAAGATTCCAAATTGGTTGATATGTTGAGCGTAGCGTTTTAAAAGGGATGGGGGGAGATGGAGGGAGTACATTCAAACTTCAAAACAACGACTCAACATGTCAACTTTGTTCATATATTACAGGTACTGCTTTGTATTTTGTGGAGTCGCCGAGAGGTTATAAATTGCAAAAATAACCCCACATGTCAATTTTCTGCACTTGTTCAACCGTTTGCTTTGTAGGGTCGAGGGGGGCTAAATTTTAAGAATAACTCGACGTGTCAACTTTCACCGTAAAAAAAACTCGACGTGTCAACTTTCACCGTTTTTTTAACGTATTGCTTTGTAGGGTCGAGGGACTGTAAATTTCAAAAATGACTCAAGATGCCTTTCTTTCCATGTGTTCAACGTATTGTCTTGTTGCAGGGGAAGGCAAGGAACATTTTGACATAAGTAAAGATGCCATGCTGGTTCATACACTAAACATAGCGTTTCGTAGGGGACAGGGCAGGTAAATCCAAAAGAATGAATCAACATGTCAACTTGATCCATATGTTGAATGTATTGCTGTGTATGGTCCAGTGGGCGTAGATTCCAAACATGACTCGAAGTTCCAATTTTGTTCGTTCAACGTCTTGCTTTGTTGTAGGGGAAGGTAAAGACATTTCAAACATGACTCAGGATGCCAAGTCGGTTCATATGTCGAACAAAGTGTTTTGTAGGGGGCCGGAAGGTAAATCTATAGCAATGACTCAACATGTCAACTTTCTTCATATGTTGAATCAACCGTATGGTTTTGAAGGTTCGAGGGGGGGGGTAAATTTTCAAAATGACACCACGTGGTAACTTTCCGCATACAATGAACGTATTGTTTTGTAGGGTCGAAGGGGGGTAAATTCGCAACAACGATTCCACGTGTCAACTTTCTTCCAACGTTGAACATATTGCTTTGTAGGACCGAAAAAGGAAAATACTTTACTTCGTGTGATCCCCACCATGACATTTATAGATTTTCTTACTGGCAAATCTTCTGGCATTCTATCTGACATATCTTCTGGCATTCTATCTGGCATTCTATCTGGCATATCTTCTGGCATTTTCTTGTGGCATTCTATCTGGCATCTTCTGGCATATCTTCTGGCATTCTATCTGGCAAATCTGATGCATTCTATCTGGCATATCTTCTGGCATTCTATCTGACATATCTTCTGGCATTCTATCTGGCATTCTATCTGGCATATCTTCTGGCATATATTCTGACATATGTTCTGGCATTCTATCTGGCATTCTATCTGGCATATCTTCTGACATTCTTTCTAACTTTCTTCTGCACATTCTTTGTCCCATATCTTCCTCCATGAGGTCCGGCAGGGAACACTGGGCGGGGATAGCCGCGGTTGAGGTCCGGCAGGGAACACTGGGCGTGGATGGTCGTGGTTGAGGTCCGGCAGGGAACACTGGTCGTGGTTGAGGTCCGGCAGGGAACACTGGGCGTGGATGGTCGTGGTTGAGGTCCGACAGAGCCCACTGTGGTCGAGGGTCGCGGTTGAGCAGGAGGAGGAGGAGAGGAGAGGAGGAGAGGAGGAGGAGGAGGAGGACGAGGCAGGAGGAGGCAACTGACATAAAATCTAACAACCCTCACCTGGCAGGTGGGGAATAAATTGAAAAATTGGTAACTTGAGAAATGACTCAAGCTGAGAATTGCCCCCATGTGTTCAAGATATTGTTCTTGTGGGGGAGGGCGGATGACAAAAGATGACTTAACGTTTCAACTTTGTTCCTATCTTCAAGGTTCTGACTTGCATGGAAAAGGACATGTTAAACACGTCTCAAGATGCCAAACAGGTTTGTTTGTTGAACGACTTTGAACGTATATTCTTGTAGGGCACAGGGGAGTAGATCTTTAACAATGACTCAACATGCCAAGTTTGTTCATTTGTTGAAGGGGGTGCTAGCTAGGTAGGGTCGAGGAGATGTAGATTTTAAAAATGACTCCGCATGGCAAGTTTCTTCATACCTTAAACCATTTGTCCCGCAGGGTCGAAGGGACGGAAATCCCAAGCATCACTCGACATGCAAAATCTCTCCATATGTTCAACGTGTTGTTTTGTAGGGTCGATGGGCTGTAAATTTCAAAAATGACTCAAGATTCCTTTTTTTCATGTGTTCAATGTATGGTTTTGTTGTAGGGGAAGGCAATGAACATTTCAACATAAGCCAAGATGCCATGCTGATTCATACGTTAAACAAAATGTTTAGCAGGGGACAGGGCAGGTAAATCCAATAGAATGAATCAACATGTCAACTTGATCCATATGTTGAATGTATTGATTTGTAGGGTCAAGGTGTTGGTAAAATTCCAAAATGTTCAACTATTTTCTTTGTAGGGTCGAGAAGGGTAAATTTGAAAACTGACGCGACATGTAAGCTTTCTCGGTATGCAAAAGGTTTTATTTTGTAGGGTCAGTCGAGGGGTTGTAAATTGCAAAATGACTCCAGATGCCATTTTTCTTCATGTGTTCAATGTATGAATTGGAAAGGGAGGGGGGTGAAATGTTTCAAGACAAATCAACATTTCAACTTTGTTCATACGTATATTCAACGTATTGATTTTTGAGGAATAAAGAATACTTTTTGAACATGACTCAGGATGCCACGTTGGTTCATATGTTGAACGTAGTGCTTTCAAGAAGACAGCGGCGAAATCTACAAAATGACTCAATATGCCAATTTTCTTTACATGTTTAACGTACTGCCGTGTAGGGTCGGGGGGTCGTAACTTTCAAAAATGACTCAAGATGAATTGTCTTAATTTGTTCAACGTATTGTTTTGTTGAAGGGAAAGGAAATGACATTTGAATCATGACTCGAGATGCCAAGTTAGCTCTAATGTTGAACGGACGTAGTGTTTTGTAGGGACGGGCGGGCAAGTTTGTAGCAATGACCCGACTCAACATGTCAACTTCATGGTAAGGTCAGGGGGGGAATAAATTTCAAAACTGGCTCAAGATCTCAATTTGTTTCATGTGTACATTCATATTGTTTTGTGGCGGGGGGAGGCATAAAAAAAATGAACTGACTTAAGTCTTCATCTGTGTTCATAGTCAACGTGTTGCTTTGCAAGGGAGGAAACGATATTTTAAACGCAACTCAAGATGCTACGTTGGTTCATATGTTCAACTATGTTAAACGTAGTGTTTTGATGAGGTAAACCGATGAGAAGAACTCAGCCAGTCATTTTTTTCCATAAGTTCAACATATTATCTGGTAGGGTCGATGGGTGGTAAATCACAAAATTGACTCAAAATGCCAATTTTCTTTGCGTTTTGTAGGGTAGGGTAGGGGGGCTGAAATATGTGAAAATAAATCAACACTTTTGACTTTGTTCATAAATTCAACGTGTTGTTTTGTGAGGAAGGAAAAAACATGTTCAACATGATTCAAGATGCCCAGTTCGTTTACATGTTGAATGCCTTGTAGGGGATGTGTTTGAAAATCTATATAACACTAACTACATGTGTCAACTGTTCATATAATATATGTTGAACCTATTGCTTTGCAGGGCTGGTGGAAGGTAAGTTTACTCCCCTCTCTTACGCGCTATATGTTCTGACAGAGTTTACGACATACCATCTGGAAGTATTTATGGCAAATATATTCTGATATTCTATCTGACATTCTTTCTGGCATTGTATCTGACGTATATTCTGCCATTCTGTTTGTTCGGGTCCAGGCGCGCTCCACAGCCTCCTGAGCGCGCGATATGGCTGCCGGGTCCAGGCATCCTGATCTCGCGGCATGGCACTCAGGTCGAGCCGCACTCCACTGCATCCACAGCCGGCGAGGAAGAAGAGAAGGAGAGGAAGGAGAGGAAGGAGAGGAAGGAGAGGAAGGAGAGGAAGGAGAGGAAGGAGAGGAAGGAGAGGAAGAAGAGGAAGGAGTCGCACCTTTGTTAAAATCTAGAAACCTTCACCTGGCAGGTGGGGAAAAAGAACTCAAGATAGAAGTTTTGTTCTGCTTTCAAATGTATTGTTTTGTGGAGGTTTGGGGGTGCAAAAAAATGACATAATGTGTTCAATATTCAAGGCAATTATATGCAGGGGGGAAAAAACATTTTAAACATCACTCAAGGTGCCAAGTTGGTTTAATATGTTGAATGTATTGCCTTGTAGGGTCGAGGGGCGGGTAAATTTTAGAAATGATTTGAGATGACAATTTTGTTGGTTCAACATATTGTTTTGTAACATCGGAAGCGCAAAAAATCTTGATGACGCGGACTCGACATGTCAATTTACTTCATTTGTTCAACATATTGAAAGGTCGAGGGGGGTATATTTCAAAAATGACTCAAGATGCCAAGTTGGGTCATATGTTGAATGTAGCGGTTTGTACAGGGCAGGAGGAAGGGGAAGAAATCATAACAATGACCCAAAATGCCAACTATGATCACATGTTCAAGGTATTGCAGTGTAGGGTCACGGAATCGTAAATGTCGAAAGCCCATTCTTTGGTGTGTTCGAGGTATTGTTTGGGGAAGGAGAGGAGTTCAAAATATAAAGATGACGTGACATTTCTACTTTGTTCATATATTCAACGTATTGGTTTGCAAAGGTAGGGAAAGGACCTGTTAAACATGGCTCGAGATGGCTTGTTCATGCTGAACGATGTTGAACGGTGTGTTTTGTAGGGGCCAGAATGTATATATTGCTTGGTTGGGTCCAATTTCAATCATGACTCAAGATGCGGACTTTCTTCATCTGTTCAACGTATTGTCTTGTTGTAGGGGAAGGAAAAGACATTTCAAACATGACTCAAGATGCCAAGTTGGTTCATATGTTGAACATAGTGTTTTGTGTGGAGAAGGGACTAAATCTATAATAATAATAATGACTAGCAGAATGACTCGACATGTCAACTTGCTTCATATGTTGAACGTGTTGTGTGGTAGGGCCGAGGGAGGTAGATAAAACATAGCTCAAGATAAATCAAAATGACAAGTTTGGGGTTGGTCGGACATGGTCGGAGTAAAACGACACAAAAGAAATCTGGAGTTAGTTTCTAAACTCCTGTTCGGAACCCTGCGGCGTCTTCGGGCGTCTTCGGCGTCTTCTTCGTCTTCGGGCGTCTTCGGCGTCTTCGGGCGTCTTCGGCGTCTTCGGGCGTCTTCGGCGTCTTCAGGCGTCTTCGGGCGTCTTCGGCGTCTTCGGGCGTCTTCGGCGTCTTCGGGCGTCTTCGGCGTCTTCGGGCGTCTGCTGTCGGCGTCTTTCGTGGCGGTTCCTTCGGCGTCTCGAAGTAGGGGATGAAAAGAACGAAGAAGAAGTGTCGAGGACGAGAACAAGAAAGGACTAGTCTATTCTTACTGCCCTCTTCGGCGTCTTCGGGCGTCTTCGGCGTCTTCGGGCGTCTTCGGCGTCTTCGGGCGTCTTCGGGCGTCTTCGGCGTCTTCGGCGTCTTCGGGCGTCTTCGGCGTCTTCGGGCGTCTTCGGGCATCTTCGGGCGTCTTCGGGCGTCTTCGGCGTCTTCGGCGTCTTCGGGCGTCTTCGGCGTCTTCGGGCGTCTTCGGGCGTCTTCGGGCGTCTGCGGCGTCTTCGGCGTCTTCGGCCCGAAGTTGGGGCACCTCTACTGCCAAAATCAATGAGAATCATAGTTTATATCTAGTTTATAATATAGTTGTATCCAGCGCAACCTCCTGTAATCAAGTTATAAAGCCACTTAGCTATCTTGGGGGCACCGCATTGTATGGATTTATCATGATCTATAGTTGGATTGAGTCTCTAAGGATAGGGAAACCAAATCATTTCGGGGGGCTCAACAATACCGTCAAATTAATATGATGGAATGTCAAAGAATTCTTATTGGGGTTTGTTTCCAAAAAAGGTGCGAAACTAGTCTGAGTCGCTTACCCCAAATGCTGAAGGTCCCATGCTGGGGAATTGAACTGCAATCAACTCAAGCAAATTCCAAGTGACTGAAGCAACATTCCAAAGAGTAGTGACCATGCATAGATGCGAACTTCAGTGTCTCCGCAGTTCATGTAGCAGAAGCCCAGCCTTGGTGCAGCCACGTAACGACTCGGTTGCGTGATGCCGGCTGGAACATCCTCCAGCTATTCGGCTGCACCAATGTGTCGTCTGGTCAAAAACGACCGACTAAGCACGGCAGCACGGCCTATTGAAACCATCCAGCCTTCAGGGTGGTTTCCTTACATAAATTCATATAAATTCATCTGGCCCTTGTATGGAGTACAGGGTCTGTTGCGTTCCCTTGATCGTTCATATTGGGTCTTGTGCCTGATGGCCAAGACGTCGTAGAGTTTCTAATGCATTGATCTTTATTGACCCTCTGGAAATAACTATACTCCTGCGTTTCCTTGCTTTGTGACTATGCCCCAGTATGTACCATGGTCAAAACATGGTATATGGGTTATGATGTCACCCCACCACTATTGAGAATTCTTGTGTTGGTCTTTATTGGTAATTAAGAACCCCAATGAAATGCTGTATGACCATCCTCAATATGGGTAAAATACACTGTATAGATATCGTTACAGTAGATATCCAACTTTTGACCACAGTGCCACAGGTTTGACCAACAAGCAGCAAATGTGTATTGGCATCCGCATAGCCTTGCAGGGCCTTGCACTGCTTTGGTGCATAGGCCTGCTTCTCTGTAAAGGAAACACAAGCGCCGGGGTCACGTAAGGACCAAAGACTGATGATGGCAGCAGTGAGCGCGCTCAACAATGACACGAACCTGGATTTTGAAAAAAGTGAGCTGCCTACGGTCCAACAAATATCTTCAGATCACCAACAAATATCTTCGGTTTGTCACTCCAAAAGTATGCGTTTTATCATGTTTTACCACTGCTTGACCCAAAATAGGTCAAATATACCATCTGGTTATTTAACAACCATGGAACATAACCATTTTTAAGTTCGGTAAACCATCTATTTCTATGGGCCATCTATACCATGGCGAACTGTTAGTCATAACCAGAGGGCAAATCCAGGTCAACTTTGGAAACCATTTGCAATCACAGTATGGTAGTCAGTTTCGTCGTTTATCACAAAAAAAATTGGGGGGCGACGTAACCATACCTAACCCACCACACCCCCCCAAAAAAAGTATCTAAAATCCATGGCTTTAACCATCGTGATCTAAATTCCATGGGTTTTTGATCATCAAACATCATCTAAAATCCATGGTTTTGATATATTTGTTGATCAACTTAAACCATCATCAAACAAACAGCTCACTTGATCCGCTTGATCTCCAGGGCGCTGCATCCATGGCTTCAACAGCCTCTCCTCCGGATGACTCGAAGCCGACGGGCTCATCCGCATCGCCGGGCTCGGCGATGCCACGCCACCGTGGCCGCCACCATGGCCGCCGTGGCCACCGTGGCCGTAGACGCTGGGTGCAACGCCGCCGAGGCATCGGTCTCCGAAGCAGGGGAGCATGCTGAAGCAGCCCGGTCATGGCAAAATGGACACACGGCTGGGGTGATATGATTCTGATGATGGCTGGGAGAAAGTGATTCAAACGTCTTAAAACATCGATGTTGATTCATTTATGACATATATATTCATATATATATATATATTATACGAAATTGTGATGATGTTTCATGCTGATGTAGTCTTGAGAATGCGGTGCTTCTGAGGTGATGGTAAATGATTTTACGGGGATGCATTATTGTCACCTCTACAGTTGGTTGAGGGGCAAAATGGAATTTCACAGCTGCGTGTTTCTGTAGTGAATTTGAGCCAGATGCTGCTTCAACTAGGTGTCCTTTTCTTGTGGCCGTCCTAAACGCAATGGTTAGGGGGATGGAACAATCATGAACAATATAAACACATCAGCTTCGGGGCCGATATTTGAATAGAATAATTTTGAAGCTTCCTCCCATCAGTTCCAGGTGATAGCTTCCAACGTTGGTCCCAAAATACAGCTGTTGAGAACCACCAAAAACGGCATGCGTTTCGAGTGCGTGCAGAATGTTCATTTTGTGAAGCCCATTTCTTGGGAAAGACTCTTTGCCTAAATGTGCTTCATAATAGGCTTGTAGTGAAAGAAATATGTTTGGCTGCGGTGGGAGAATATGCCGGAAACCACAGTTTTGTATCAAAAACATCGAGGTTTCTCTGATTTTTGGGGGCTTGGCATACCGGGTATTCCAAGTTCACGGATGAGAGTCCCAACCCATGCTGCCCAAATCATATTGAACTGGTGAGACACTTACCCGGCCTGGTAAACTGTCACATAACTATGGAACATCACCATGTTTGATGGGAAAAATCACTATTTCTATGGCCATTTTCAATAGCTATGTCTGACATAACCAGAGGGTAGAATAACCATGACCCCCATAGTATCCATAAGCCCTGAAAAACATCGACATGGCAGCTGCATTCTGATCACCGAGCTTCTGAATCTCTTTGAGGTTCAAACCCCCAAGGGGTCTGATGCCTCCCAAGCAGCACAGGTGCGCCGACCCCACCACCGCGGCCAGTGGAAGCCATTCCAAGATGCGGAGGAAACGCAGGGCCACCTTCAGGTCGTAGCGCCTCCAAGGCCATATCGAAACATGGCCATCGTTTACCAGTCGTTTTCCATGGATTTCGGTGTTAGAATGGCTGCACATGGTTGTCCGGCAAACGAAGATGGTGTCGTTTTTTGAACTTATCTTGATCCGTTCATCTTTGGATTGGAATACCATGGAATACCTGGTATTTGGATTGGGAGCAACAATGTTGATATATGTTGATTGTCGCTTAAGAAGGGGGCAACAATCCAGCAATTTCAACACATCGAAGGTGAAGAAAATGCCCAGCCAAGCCCTATCAGGATGATGTGGATGGTTTGGTAAAGGCGCGGCCTCAAAATTACCGACTGGCAGGATATATTGGGATGGTCAGTATAAGTCCGAGAGATCCACTAAATCGGAAAATGTGATATTGAAATATTGAATTAGTTTGGCATATATTATGGCTCTCCCAAGTTCGAGAGCTATTTATGGAATTATTGTGGATGCTTGAACGTGCTACTTGAAAACGGGCGCGCTGAGACAAAAGAAAACTGTCAGGCCGCTGAACCAAAAGATCAAGTATGGAATTAAGTATGGTAATTTTTCTGGGGCCCTCATGACATATATACCTTTCTTCAAGGTGCTTTACCCTACTATATCCTACTTTGTACCTGTTCCGAGGTGAATCGGATGGATTCCCTTCTGGTTCCTGATGCACTCGGTGCGAAAGTGAGAGCTGTTGCCAAACTCCTGCGCCGCGCAGTAGCCAAATGCGGTCTGGATACCTAGCAGGTCATACGAACCAAGCACCACATCCCCGCACAAGGGCCGAACCTGAAACATCGAATTCACCAAATATCATGGAATCATAAAAATTGGGATGTGTCAAATTTCCACAAATTTCACACATTCGCATTGATTTTGAAGCCCAGTGGCTTGATCTTGAGCAGTAGCAGAAGAATCAACACCTCACTGCCCCATCCCTTGCCAAATGGCGAGGAGAGGGTGATGCCGATGTTCCCCTCTGGTGGACCATTTCATGGCTGAAAAAACTCAGAGAGGTGCTCTGAGATGGGTTCAATAACATGTGATTTGAGATGATTTCTAGATTCTAGATGATTTTGGCCATCTGTCTAACAAAAACCCAAGGCCTTTGCCTCTTTACTAATGACATTGCTTGCATCATATTGCCTCCCTAACCCCCCACAGCTATACATCCCATCCCCAACACCAGTTCAACACCACAGTTCCTCCCTCTTATCTTCCTGCCTCCACTTCGTTTTCCGCCTTCTCCGCCAAGTAATTCCCAGGAACAGCAGCCCCGTCCCGGGCTGCGCTGTGATGACGTGGCGAAGATTCTGCAAGTGCTGCAGGTCGCCCAGAATGGCACCGCAAAGGGTGATGGAACCCCTCAACTCCTGAGGGCTAGGCCAAAGAGTGGCACAAAACAATATGGAAAATAAACAATGTTGGTGGATCTCCAAATGTGGTGAGTATAGACATGATCAATGTTTTCTATGATGTGTTTTTTTCCTCTCTCTCTCTCTTTCCATCACCATCTTAGGGCAATCGGCAGTAAAAGAGTAAAAGTAGAGATGTGGATGTGTTTTTGGTGAGTTATGTGTGTTATTGTCTCGGTAAGTCAATATGGGAAGAAAACCTGAAACCGACCTCATCCCAGGCTCCAACACACTGGGCTCTTGCGATAACAGGTCCTCACCCATCGCCAAAATGTCCTGGGAGTTGGAAGTCAACAAACATCCAATGATGATAATGATATGATATATATATATATATATATAATGATGTGATGTCGCCTCATGATGCCTGTCAGACACTTGCCGCAGATCTTGAAGCTGCACACCTTTCAACAACAAAATACATGTGAAAAAAAAAATCAGGGCACATGGAGTCGAATCAACCTTGGCTTTTCACCAAGAACTAACATCATCTGACATCTGATTCTGCCGGGTCCCATCCCAAGGTATGCCAAGGCGCCATGAGATCCAAAGCCTCCAGGCCCGGGCCAAACGCTCCGGGCGGCGATGAGAAGCTTTGGAGGTGCTGATCGATGTCGAGGCATTTGCTCAGCACACAGAGGCCTCGAAGCGGCGAGCGGAGAGCTGATTTCAGCTCTGTTTTTAGGTGAGATTATATTAGAGAAATCACACACACATGCATATTATACATATCACACACACACACATATATATATATATATATGTATATACAGGAATGTATGTATATGTGCATATAAATATATCTACAGTATATAAATACAAATGCATATCATCAATACAGACCTGAATCACCATCGCAGGCACTTAGGAAAATAGAAGTCTATCACATTCGATGATTTGAAATTACCAACCATACACACAATGGAAACCATCAACGTTTTCATTGACCTTTGGAACTTTTGGGAGTCCATATCAGGCTCAAGGAATGCAAAGGACGAGCCACAAACATCTCCATGCCAATCTAAGCTGTCGCAGGTCTCATCATCTCCCAAGCTTCCAGTAGCACATATCAGCCTCAGAAGTCTTCTCAATTTCTGACATGTGAAATACGGTCTTTGCCGTTCATGAAAAACGGTATAGACTGCATATGAAAGTATAGAGTATAGAGTATAGAGTCTGATGAGTTTTTTCCCTTATCAATTCAAAAGGGCCCTCCAGCTTCAATCTTTTAAGCTTCACTTGGCAGTTTCAAGCAGTCAGTCACCATTGGCTATGGGATCATGTAGCATAAACTCTACGACCCAACTGATTCGGAGGATGCCAGGTGGATGACGGAAAGGTGCCAGCAATCAGCACTTTAAAGATCCCATTCATCGCATTAAAGCAAAGAAAGGTATAAAGTAACTATATAAATCCCATGAAATCCAGTACAATCCCATGAATTGCACGATGCACCCCATTCAACAATAATGTCCTTTAGCGTTTTAGCCACCCCAGACTCATGCGGTTGCGGGGCAGTTGAAATACGACGGGTGGTCCTGAAGTGGACCGGTTGAACCAGCCATCCCAAATCAGGAGCATTCACCACACATCACATCACTCCATAGGTTGTAACTCTAAATATGTTGCATATATATATAGGTATATAGAGAACACGCACACACACACACATATATATATATATACATGCATAGACATATAGAACACGCACACACATATGTATATATATATATATTGTATAGAACAGCACGTACAGAGTACGAATGTATATGGCGTAATATTGCATAATAAGTATGTAACTACATGATAAGCATGATAAGCATGAAACGTATATAATGGAAATATATAGTTACCGTAGCTGATGAACTAATTATATCGCACTAGGCACTATATGACTATATCTGAGTGCATCTTATTGTGTGATATTCTGTGCCATAGTTCTGCCGCAGTCATCACCAATCTGTCCTCCTTCCTTGTGTATTGCGTGCTTCAGCTCTCTGACGGACGTCTCGGGCGTGACTCGCAGGGTGCAAACGTTTCGACCCGCAAGGGTGGTCACCACGACGCTGACCTGTCTGCGATATGGACTTAACCCACTTTGATGCCAACCTCAAAGTAGGGTGGATCTGGTGGTTTTAACATGCACCACAAAAAACATGAAGAAACTGGGATTTAACCACGATAAAGTGATGATCCAATGGTGGTTGGAAAACCATGGTTTCAAGCCATCACAAATCTTCACATGGGAGTCAACTGGGATAGTGGTCCCAACCAAGGGCTAGAGAAGCATGCTTGGGACCAGCAGCTCGTCCCAAATGCACAATACATCAAGGGGAACCATCCAAAGCATTCTGGATATCCAAATCAGCCCCAAATGATATCCTGGCACTTCATAATGGAATACTGTATATATATATAAATACCCAGCAAAAGACATGTCACTTCCAAACTCCAAACGACACTTTGCCATGAAAGAGCTTGGTTAAACGGCGGGGAGGGGTGGTTTGGTTTCGCACAAGCTGTTCATGAAACACAGTTTTGGTGGGCAAAGAACAGCAATCTCTCCGTTTAGATCACACAAACCAGCAACCCCCCAAGACCATGGAAGCGGACAAACAAGATCCAAAAATAATCCTGCAGAGTCTTACAGCTTGGGTCAGACAAATGGGGCACATGAACTTATTCTAGCATTGAACCAATGAATTTTGCTCTAAAACTCAAGAAGTCTCCTTTGGCCACCCACGCGTTCTGTGGCATTGCTCGCCTCACTGTGGGTCGCATTATAATCTCGGCCATGGCTAGCTTGGATGGTGGCTCCGCAACCCATGGGAGCCACCGAGCCACCTTTTCAGCCTGAAGTTGAGGCGATCATGATTAATCATGATTATCCACAACCATCCAGCTGAAATATGAAATGCCTGAAAATCATTTCATATCCTTCCATTAAACTACATACCAATCACACCTATTCCCCCTGCCAAATGACCAGAACCACCTTGCGCAGCCTGGTCCGAGCTAAGTTGAGCCTTCTAATGCTGAGTTTCGGATGTGGCAACAGATGGTAACAGAATGGACAGTGACATGGTGGGTCCCTGGGTAGGTAGCTGGCCATGAAAGTGGTGAATGATGTTCCAAACATCGCACCTGGCAATGGAGAATGATGGACCATCCACCATTTGCAGATCCCCCTTGCCATAATACATCAGAAGAGGGACATCTGATCACCTTGAAAAAAATAACAAAATACGAGAAATACATCAGGAAACAAACATCTACTGGACAAGGTTTGTTTGTAGTTCCATGTTTGGCCTTGGGGATGCAAAATTCCCTCACTTCCCCAGGAATACAAAGTTGCTGCTGATAAGTCAGCTATCGCTATTGGCCACTTATCTCCAAGACTGTTTGTGTTTTCTTCACTTTGTTGCTTCAGTACTTCAACATGCGCTAGGCCCTAGCAAAAGCTGCTGCCATTGTTTTTGCGTTAATTCCCATGCTTAAGTGCAACTACGAACATGCAAGCAACATCAAAAGCAGTCCTTAAGTTGTGGTTCCAGTATGTTCCCGTAATTAATTCATTGTTTTGCTGAATGCATCTTCTATGACTATACCATCTTTTCTCAGCTGTGCAACCAACCACCCAACCCCCAACTGTTCCTGTGAAGTTCCCGGTCGCCCTGCAAAGCCGTGAAGCGGAGCTGCTCCTCCGCGCTCTTCAGGGTGGCTTTCTTATCTTTATTTTATTTATCCATGTCAGGTGACCGTACCACATTGATTGATCCATTTATAATCCATTTATCCATTGTCTGATTCGTCATGTTTTCTTATGTTTTTTTGACATCCATTTATTGCTACACGTAGAACATTGTGGCTGTCGTTCCATCCAGCCGGATGCCTGGAAAATTCGATCTCTCCAACTTGACTCCTCTCACAAACCATCATTTCCGGTGTGACGCCATGGTGACGTCGTTTTATTTACGCTCTGGTAAACTGTCACATAACTATGGAAAATCACCATTTTGAATGGGAAAACTCACTATTTCTATGGCCATTTTCAATAGCTATGTTAGTCATTACCAGAGGGTGCACAGATTTGGGTTTGTCTGAGAATAGGGCACCCCAAATCCAGTGCTGTACTGGTATCATATGATTTTCGCCATTTGGGGAATATCCCTCCGGTAATTTCCACTCATAACTCTAACAGGAAATGTTCCGTAGCTATGTTAAATGTGAAATTACCTTAAAGGATATACCCTCTGGTAAACTGTCACATAACGAACTGGAAAATCACCATGTTCAATGGGTAAATCCATGTAAATCCATCTATTTCTATGGGATTCTATGGGCCATGTTCAAGTTCGCAAACTGTTAATCTCTTCGTTGACCAAAGGATATATATCGCCCATGTTCCCATTTCTTGTGGCCTGAACTTCCAAAAAGTCCATCCCACCAGTACCCCATCTTCCGGCCATATGAATTGTGGGGATATTCCCTGAAATTTAGGCCTAAGAAATAGGCCTTATGGTAGGTACCTCCAATCAATCGGTTCCTGAAATGGCCATTGATGTTGTGATAAATTTCGATGTCCTGTGTTCGAAACAGTGATACGACTGATTTAACAATAGCATTGATACAGTAATGCCGACTTTTGGAATCGAAGAAATGGGGACTTGCGAGGGACAAGTGCACTGATAAATAAATACCCTCTGGTTATTTAACATAGCCATGGAAAATGGCCCTATATAGATGATTTCCCATTAAAACCTCCATTTATGAGGGATTTTCCATGGCTATGTCAAATAACCAGATGGTAATATACATCAAAATGGAGACGTTCTACCCTTGGATCTTTGTGTGCCGGAGGGTATGTGAAGCCACCAGCTGACTCAGCTTCTTGACAAAAAATGACCGATGTCTGGCGATTCGCCATTCGATGCCATTCGCCATTTCAAACCCAGTTGGCATTTGGCAATTTCAAATGAAGTCGTCAATGCTTTTAGTATCTCTTAGTACTGGTGACAAAATCCTGCCCACGAAGCAGCTGAGTCCCAACGACCGGCGTCTTGGACACGTCCTTTTGGTTTGTCGGCTTTTCGGCATCCTGGCGGTGATTTTGATCGAAGTGAGATCACCAGCCACTGAAATCAATGCCACTGCTCCTTGCTGGTCACCAAATGCGTCTCTTCTTCGCTTGAAGCCTCCTTAGTCTGTCCAAGTGTTACAAGGTGGGAAGGAGGTAAATGCATAGTTTCAGATGTTGCTGTATGTGTATCGAACATTATGCTAAGTATGGAGAGCTCATGAAGATTCGTTTTCGTGAAATCATCAGTCTTGCGAAGGAGAACACCCCGGCAACAACCGTTTGCCCTCTGGAGTTTGAAGAGTTTGCTACCGAACATCACCTTTTCATATTATATAGGGTAAGTAATCTACTAATATCTACTATACATTTTTAATAGCTATGTTAAATTACCGGAGGGTAGGATTGAGAATTGCAACCATGTTCACCAGCAAACGGCCCAGGAATGCCACCAAGCATCATCCACTGGAACACAGCCACAGTTCGGATATGGCACCCGCCTCTGTAGCAACCTGATGTGTGGCCTTGGGCCCCCACTGGAGGATTTTGCACGGCAGCATAATTTTTTTTTTGGTTCAGTACCAAGGACATCATGGCGTGAAATGATCAGGAAAATGGGAAAAATCATGGGACAAGATTTCCTGATATCACTGGATACTGAAAATGACGCTCACACATGGCCACAGACACCCCGAGATCAGAAGTTTGCAGGCTCCGATTCTGCTATCATACCGCCATTTGGGGGATTCCCCCAATTCTAACCATCATTCCAGTGACATCACGACGTGGGCTTAATAATAAAATATTACAAATAATTTCCAATATTATTGTGGTATTTATACAATGTTTTACGTATTGCATCAGGATACATTAGATATGATACTATACCATTATATGGCATACTACCAGTAATTATACCATTATCATCCCACTATTAAATTATCCAATATTCAAATTATCATTATAAATCATATATATATATATACATTATACACGTTTCATGGTACCCTGATTGATGAAACTCCATGTTCAAAAAACTCATTGTTAAATCATTATAAGTTATAAGTTAGATACATGTAGTATCATAGTATTGTAAATCTTATGAAACCACATGTATATAAGTTTGCTACATTATTGAGGTATTATTGGCATTTTATTGATTATATACGGTGATTAACTACTGTTAACTATGCTATACCCTCCAGTAAATTAACATAGACCCTGGAGCTAGGGGTTGGAAGATACGTTTCAACTAAACACCTGCCATTTTCAGGGTCTACTGATCTACTGTATGTCTGTTCATTTACCCAGAGGTACCATCACCATTCATAGCATCATCCGCCAACATCCAGGCCCTGGCTCCACCCTGCCTCACTTCAGCAGCATCCCAGGCAGCCCAAAGCTCCTTTGTTGCACGAAGACAAAGGGGGCTATGCGATGAACGGATCAAGAAAAAATGGATGGAAACCTAAAGGTAGCTAGAAAATTGAAAAATCGATGAAGAAAATCTATGGACATCTTTGAGCATCCAGGTGAAAATCGAAGAAAACACTGGATTTCAAAAGATTTTCATTGAGTCTTTCACCCAATAAAAATGAACAAATCAATGATTAACTTGCAAACTTGGAGGTTTTGGCACAAATCAAAGACGCGTTGTTTATCGTTGTTTGGCCAAACATGAAAATATACCAAAGTGGGGAGATTCAGCCTGCAGCTTGAAGGATCTTGAAGGAATAGATAAAGCCAAAACGTTGTATATACACTAACCAAATGGTGTGATTGTGACGGTGACTGAGGAATGGCTTCTGACTGGTTTCTTGGGTCTTAAATGCCCCATTCAAATGGAACCAGGACGGGACCCCCAAAGAAGGAGCTAGTAAATATAGTCTTGGTGATTTGTTGATCCCCTTTAATAGTATATATCTACCTCTTTGTGAGATACATTAATAAACCAATCTTATCCTAATTATAAAAAAAATCTCAATGCGTTGCTAGAGTCCGGAGTCCGCCCATCTAATCTCACAATTTGGATCTGAATCATAATTTGGTGGTATGTTACAAATCTAGATTCATCTAGATGACAATTACAGATGAATTTACAATTTGGTTTGCCATAGGGAAGATCAATTTCCAACTTGGAGACTACTAATGCTACTGGCCGAGCGCGCAAGGCACTGAAAAATGCTCAGCCGCAAGTCAGACATATCGGTCCAGCTCTCTTCGTACCAATCCAGTGCCTAGGTTCTCTGTTGATTTCTGAGATTTTCTGAGCAGCTTCACGAGGGCTGACAAAAATGGTTGAATCTGTTGATGGCTAGTGCTTTTATGGTGCTTTTGGCTACATACGCCATATGTGGATGGATGATACTAATACTGATATACTGATATGGGCGCTGAAAACCGGGCCTTTAAATAGAGGGAGAGTGACCAAACTTGGCTTCTCAAGTTTCTGCAGCATTCTGCAGCAAAAGGCTCCAACGAAAAGCGAAAAAGCAGCCTGAGAATGCCTGAGAAGATTCCCACCCCAACCCAGCTTTACAACAAATGCAGCCGTATTTGATTCGGCTAAGGATGGCTAAGGTCTCTTTACACCAGAATCACCAAGGAACTGTTCACACTGCACCTGCACCGAAAGTCCGGAATTTACCATGAAATTAAATGATTCAGGGCTTGTCTCACCTCTTGCAGGGCATCTGCCATGGTAAAACTGCGGGGTGTGTCTCATCTGTTGGCTGTTGGCCTATGGCTGGAATACAATCATCAACGAAAATGTTAAGATCAAAATCCGTGGATTTTCCCTTGCCATGCTTCCAAAAGGGTACATCTTTTCAACCCCTCTGACCATGCGTCGCACCTTGCCAGGGCCATCCTTTTTTTCCATCCGCAGACGTGGGTAGCGCGGCGCAGTTCAATTCACTCAGGACAGGAAACACCTGCAGCTTGGCTAGCCGCTAGCCTTCACTAGCCCAATCCCAACATGACGAATTCCGGATGGGATTAGAATATATTAGACTGATGTCTACTGACCTGTTGTAAGTTTATGATAGTTTATGTACGTATGTTTTTGCATGCATCCAGTGCAGTAAAATCTGACAGCAAGCGCGGAACAGCCGCGCATTGAATCGCATTCCATCATTTCGAACAGCCGAGGAGCAACGGCCCACAGAGGCAATCAACATTTTCCCATGAATTGCCTCAGCATTCCCCATCAGCCAGCGGTGGCTGATGAGTCATGTATAATACAAAGGCCAAAGGTGAACAAACAAAGACAGTGGGAAACGATCAGCGTTGGACTGGTTGAGACACACAATGACATGGGGATTTTTGAAAACACTCTGAAGATTCCGATTGAAATTCACCGGTGCTTCTGGTGGGAGGCTTCGCGGGTTCGCTCGTGTTGAAGTGGGATGAAAATCTCTGGCCTGCCCACAGGTGCGGCTACTTCAGTTGTTTGGGGGCGGCGGATAAGCGCCCCCGGCTGGCTAGCATCTGATGGGCTTTGAATCGCAAGCACTATGTAACCAACATCCGTTTCTCGGACAACACGACACTGATGACACTGATCGCTGACGATTCGAAGCCAAGATTATCAGATAAGCCAAGCTGCCCAATAAATCAAAACACAAAAAGTGCTGGCAATCCCTGAATCTTATTGTGCAGTTTCCTCCTGGCAGCAACATGAAGCTGAATCAATAGTCATCCCATGGCGGAACTTAGCTGTAAACCGTGGGGCTTAGCTTACCCAATGGCAGCCATGGCATATACCAACGGATTCTTTTATACCACCCATTTTTGGTCATATTGGTGGTGGTTTCTTTGTCTGGTTTGGGACATTAAGATACATTAAGTCTGTAAAACGTTACTATTTTTCATTTCATTTAATTTCCACGTAGCGTAGCGTTAGATTGCAGAAGTGTAGCTTTCTAGGAGGATGTCGCAATCACTGGATTCCACCAAAATGTTACCCTCTGGGAAACGGTCACATAACGAACTGGAAAATCACCATTTTTAATCGCTAAATCAACTATTTCTATGGCCATTTTCAATAGTTAAGTTATATATGTTAGTTTACCAAATGTTAAATCGTTTTCTTTGAGTGACCCCCTACCAACTGACATTCGATCTGACAAGTATACTCTCTCCATCGCCATCCCGAAGGTTCAGCTAAGGCTGAGGGCAAGCTCTTGAGAAGTATACTGTATGCTGGCACTTTATTCGCCATTTTATTTAGCATTCCAGCTTGCATATATTCCGGCATTTTAGCTGCCAGTCATGCTGCCATTGATTCTAACGTTTTATCCGCCAATCTATCTGACGTCTTATGTGCCATTCTCTCTGAAATATATTCTAACATGTTCGCGGCCACACACACACATATATATATATTTATTTATTTATATAATTTTATTTTTTTGGCACTGACTCCAAGAAGCGAAGCTCCGCTGCGGCCATTGCAGGTCTCTGACAAATTCAGCTGGAGACTGTGTCCAGCAAATAGTGGAAAAAAGAATTTACAAAAACACTCAACCGGCATAGTCGGGTCCGTATGTCTGCCCAAATGCAGAACACACCAAAGGACCAAAAATGTCACTATAGTGCCGGGAGACCTGAAATTCAGGGTTGATTGGGACATCGCTAATGGCTCGAAGGAATCCTCTGGCAAGGGCCAAACAGAGACCTGGAGGGTATTCCTTGAGACGGGCCGTTGCCCATTGTCCTGATGCATCCTTTCCAATTGAAGTACTCTTTGGTACTTCTGTGGTGATACGACCCCGGTGCAGCTCCTGCTTGAGTTGCGGGGCGTTCAAAACGCCGAGGGTCGTCGGTTTGGCCGACTGAGCCCCCCACAAGCCTTGTGCTAGGGTGATCGACTCGCACTCAGGAAGGGAGAGCAGCAACTGCATGATCGGCGTCCTCCAGATGGATGCTTCTTCAGGATGAGGAGATTCAGCTGGGTGCTCGACCGCTGCAATGCCGCCTGTACAGGCCAAAGCTGCCATAGCCACAAGCTGAAATCCCATAAGAATGTTGGCGATGGTGACCTGATTGAGTTCACGCAAAGAGAGTGAACACAGGCCCCACACCTCTTCCAAGGTTCGAACAACCCGAGGGCCCAGGCAGCGCTGATGATCTCCAGGAGCGTCGGAAGGCAGGTGGCGTCCACGCGCACGCGACCATGTCTCGCATGGGGGGCCACCCAAGAGGGCAATGATTTGTCGATCCAAAATCGCCGAGATCCAAAACTGACGGATCTTGGCATTGGAGAGATCTCCCCAATGAGGATCGATCACGATGTCAACCGAGATGACTTGGATGAAAAATGGTCCATGAAAGTCTGTAAGGCCGTCCACAAAGAACTGAAAGTCTCCTTGGCGTCGCCTTCCCGCAAAGAGATGCAAAATAAATCTCTCTCTTGCAAATCCTCGCGGTGGATGTATGACAAAATCATGTTGTTCTCTTCCTTCAATCTCACGTAGACAGTGCTGCTCCAAGGCGGCAATCTCCAAATGCCACGGTGAGGTTTTGGCACGGCCATCCGAGGTCAAAAATGTCCAAGCGTGGGGAGACCGCAAGGTGACTAGAAGATGGCGCAACTCATCACCTGGAACCCGCAAAACTGCCGCGTCAGCATCAGTGAAAAGCTCCAAAAAGCGCTCAAGCGTGGCCTGGAAGGTCGACCATGAAAGGACTGTCTCTCGAGCTGCTGTCCGAATCAATCTTTCACACTCCGCAATGTTCTCTGCATCCACAATGTCAATGAAGATCTTCTCCAAAAAGTCCTGGTCGAAGTCCTCGTCTGCACGTCCATGAGGTCGTTCAAGTAGTGGCCCTTGCACCTTCAATGGCGGCAGAAGTCCATCATGGGCAGCTTCCATAGTTGCATTGATCTGAGAGCCAGCTCCAGGCATGGGTTGCCAACGAAGCCGTTGTGCTTGCAGGATTTGGCGACATGCCGTCACTTGCAAAAGATGGGTTTTCAACTTGGCAAACGTGTGGTATTCCTTCATGCAGGCTCCGCACTGCGATGTAGAAAATAAATGCCTGACAGAGTTGACATGACCATGAGCTCGGAAGAGATGGGCTCCGCATCCTCCCTTGCTGAGAAAACGTTTTTCACACATCATACATGCATGGATTTGATCCCCAGAAAGAGCTTCATGATGAGGCATCGTCTGGCAGAGGCGCCCATGATCCTGCAAAATCTTCAGAAATTCTCCATGGAACTCGGTCACGATATGCAGGTTGCGTCGCTGTCCACTGTCATGATCTCCGGCTCGGCGGATCAATCTTTTCCAAAAACCTGGATGATGTCGCATGAGGTACTCCCATTGCTGGAACCCTTGCAGGGGATCAGGGAGTTGTGAGGAATGTTTCAATTGATTCCACATCCATTTCAGATCACACCAAATCAGCTCCTGCCACTCCAAATCATCATTGAAAAGCCCCCAGGACGTTCTATGACCATTGCCATACAGCTGGCCCAAATGTCGAAGGCGGCAAACTCGTAGAAGAACGGCAGGATCAGGGAGTCCAGTGTCTGCTAAAATGGCTGCGTCGCTTCGGGGAGGATGCTGTTGCACAGGAAGAAGTCGGTTGTAAAGCCGCATCAACGCACTGTGCAAGTAATGCTTGTCCTTGCCATCTCGAAGCGTCCAAGATTCCGCCCCATAAAGCAATTTGCTCAGAATCAGTGTACGAAACAACTCACGGCGTCGGCAAAGATCCAGGCCGCGATTCTGAAACAAAAGTTTTCTGTGGCGGTTGAAAGCAGCATGTGCCAAACCAAGACGGCGTCGGACTTCACGACGAAGATCTCCACGATGATGAATGGTGCTGCCAAGGTGAGTGTAAGAACTCACAACACTTAAATGTTGAATTCCATCTTCCAAAATGATGGGAAACGTCTGAGGGGAGCTTGGCCCAAAATATTTGAGCTTGGCCTGGGTGGCTCCTTTCCCTTGGAAGACCATCATGAGCTCCGTCTTCCCCTTGGCTAAATTGGGGCTCATGGCAAATTCAGCGCACAGCCCAAGAAGAGACCCTCCAACTCGTCCTGCAGCCTGTTCCAGCGTCACTGCGGAGTCCGTAGCAAAGGCAATGCAGGTGTCGTCCATCCAGGTGGGCCCTAGGAAAGACTGCGTACCACATTCTGACACATCAGTTGCAGGAAGTCGCAGTCCATCTTCGGCAGGAAAGCTGTCCAGAATGCCATTGTCCGACATCATCTGTTCGAGGCGATGGAGGAGCCGAGCCCAAAGGAACGAGAACACAATGTCTGCGAAGCAATCGCCCGGGCGCGTCCCTAGGGACGTTCTGCATGCGTCATGCTGCATCCCGACATGAAAGTGTGTGTCGGTGTGTAGTGCTTGCAGGACCTTCTGAAGTTGTGGTGAAAGGCCAGCTCGCTCGACAGCCGACTGATCCTCCAGGTGTTGATGTAGAGCATGAAGGAGGTCAGGCCCCAGTTGCAGGCGATCACCAACAGCAACTATGGCGGCATCATCCGGTGGGCCCCCAAGAGCCAACTGGCGGACAATGCGGTAGAATGCTTCAGTCAGGTCTAAGAACAATAAGCCCACGCACTTGCGCTGTCGAAGCCGTGTTCGAAGGTATGATCTCGCCTGATGCACTCCCATCGTGACAGAAATGCCCCGCATGCCGCCAGTTTGCTGCAGTTGCAAATAGTGCTCAAAGACATCGGCTGAATGCAAACGCAGGCAGCGATGCAATGACTTGCCTATGTGCGATGAAATGAGCACGCTGCGATAAGCAGAACAGGCGTCTCGAGGGCCTTTCTGCTTCCAGATCGGCTGAAGCCGACCACCTTTATGCAGGAGACTTTCTTGACCATGTGTGTACAGCTTGAGCAACTGACTGTAGGTTTTGCGGGCCACGATAGCCGGAGAACTCGCACAGACGTTGGCATCAATGAGATCAGGGCCCGTTGCCTTGTTGGGCTTGACATGCCTGAAGGCCGCCTCAAGTTCAACCAATGATGGAACATCTGTAATCATCAGGTCCAGGGATGTCGCCTGGAAAGCTTGAAGATTCTTGATCCAGAGTTGACGTTGCTCCTGTCGATTGACTCTTCGACCACCTTCCATATTCTGGAAAAACTGGATCCAAGTATCCAGCGCTTGAGATGGTGAGGTACAGTGTTGGCCAGATGAATCCTTGACATAGGGAAGCGTCTGCTGCTTGATCTGCTTCAAGTTTGTCGAGCCCACGACCTTCTTGAGTGCATGCAGGATCGAAGAAGCAGGTGCATCTGGGGGCAAATCCGCAAAGACTTGTTTGAGATAGGCCGTCTTCCTGTCTCTGAGCTTCTTCTTAAGATGGGCCGCTGAAGTGTGAAATCTGGCCATTAGTTTGACATTCGCACACAGAAGCCATCTTCGGTATGTCCAGAAGCCCTCAATGTCATAGTCAGAAGTGGTAGCCCAGGACTGAAAGCAAGCACGCAGGAGTTCTTGTCGATGGCGACGTGCAATCTGACGGAGCCCTCGTCTTGCTATAAGTTTCTGGGTACGAAGATTCCAAGTGTCCTCATCCAAGCATGGTTTTTTGGGTCTGTGTCGCGTCAAAGGACATTGATGTTGGAGGCCTTCAAGGAGGTGGCCATTGAAGTGGGAGACCTGGTCCTCAATGTTCTCCGACCATGCTGGAACAACATAACCATGCAGAACCTGCATCACATGGGCACCTTGAAGCTGTCCAAAATCAATGGTAGCCTTCGAAGATCGCTTCATTATGGAGGTTGAAGGACCAGTTTCCTTCCACTGTAGTTGGAGAGCAATGGCCATGTGGTCGTGGTGACTGTTGCCCAAGTCAAACTCATCAAGGACCTTGCTCAAAAGGCACTCCTGTAGACAGGCCTTCGGAATCGCGATGTAGTCAATCAGATGTTCAGACATTCCATCTGGTGTGACCCACGTCGTATGAGGACCTTCATGACATGTTGATGTGCAGGGAAGGCAAAGTTCTCGATCTTCCAGAAAGGCTCTCAATAGAGGCGTGCCCGATGTGGTGCTGCCAATGGTGTTGAAGACTGATGTGTGATCTGCCTGTCCTGGTCCCGCATTCGCATCCAAAAGAGCAAAAAGGCGAGCTGTGGGAGGACAAAGTGCAGTGATCTTATTCAGTTGTTCCCACCATTCAGCCCTTTCGGACAGAGGAACTCCACTTTGTGGTGCGTGCCCAACAACCAGCCAGAAGTCAACCCATTCAGTGACAACATGAAGAAGCAGGCAACGTGGGTCTTTGTGCACAACGACAAAGTGATGCGCTTCAAAGAAGGCAGGTCCCTTGCTCATCATCGCATAGGCCTGTTCCAAATTGACCCAGAGTTCAATGCCATAACATCCATCAAGGGCCCACTCGCAAAGCGAAGAATCTTCTGGGCTCGTGAGCACAGTTCAGGTGTGCGGGCTTCCTGAAGACCCAAGAAGTTGAGGTGCAGCAATTTAAATTGTGTTCTGAGATAGTCCAGTTTGCCCGCATGCCCCCACTCTCCATTGTACATCGATCCAATGTTTGCACTAGCCAAACTGATATTGATCTGGGCACACTGATCAAAGTTTGGCTTGTCCTCCTTTGAATCAGAAGTGGCATGTAGAGAAGGTAGCAAAGGAGGAGGGACATGGAAACCAGCAGCACTCCATGAAGGAAGACCATCCCGCTGACTGAAGAGCATCCACATGTAAGGCAGGAAAGATCGCCATGTGTCCATGGAGAGAGTCTGACGCTTGTAGTCAAAACTACGAATGCGTTCCTCCTTCGCCAGCCAGTCGACAAAATCGTTGTATGGATCCCCGCAATGGCCAGGAGAATGCTCAACGTGAAGTCGATCTTCCAATGCGGTCTCAAGAGCTTGAAAGCAACTTCTCAAACTGGTAAAGGAAGTGTCAACCTTGGCAGTACCGATCCGACCCAGAGCTTGCATTGCTGTGGTCCAAGAATCAGACCTAAACAATGTAGGCGTGTCAATGTTTTGAGCCAACCGCCACAGGGCTGCCCAGGTCATAGCTTCACGTTCTGCACAAAGTGATCCAACATATTCAGCTCCTAGAAAGGATGGACAGGAAGGGTCATACCTCACAGGATGTGTCAGCCAGCCAATGATTTCAATGACCGGAGGCTGCTGTAGGGATCGCTCACCAAGTACAACAAAGGCCCACGTGTCCCCAAGGCCTTTCTCCTCATTCCATGCAGCAGGTCGATGACGATGGAGAGGAAGAGATGAGCCGTCCGTGTAAATGATCAGACGATCAAAACTGGCAAGATTCGTGGTCTCGCTCATATGCATGGCCTGCATGGTGCTTTCAGGGAGATCAAGTCCTGCAGGATCTCGACAAAGCACGTCCGTGCCCGACGCAAAAAAGGCATGAATGTCGGTCATTGTGATGCCAAACCGGAGGAGAAAATCATCTTTGCCCTCAATGTGGCCTTTTGGAGTGAAGAAAGGCCTGTTCTCCCTGTTACAGCAGAGCGGTGCCGGCCATGGAGAGGGAGCCTTATGCTTCTCAGGTTTGACCGCATGTTGTTGGACAACGTCACGAAAGATGATCCGGAAGAACTGGGGCATGGGTTCCTCGGTGTCCAGGATGGCCGCTCTGCAATATCCAAGTTTGTAAAGCAACTGCATGAGACCCAGGTCATCGAGGGCAACCTCAGATGTGTGAAGGAAGGTACCTTCATCATCCTTGGGATCATCATGGCAGAACATGTAATGGAATTGGTTTGCGGAGGCAATCCACTGCACTGGAAGGCAAAGAGCTTCATGTCGAGGACCAAATCTGACAGCCTTGCATGCAATGCCCCAATGTGTGAGCTCAGCCTCAATGTCAGTGGAATCACCAGGCGCGGAGCATTCAATGTACTCCGGAACAAGAATGGAGTCACATCCAGAGCGAAGCCTTATTGCAACCGTCGTTGATGCCGTCAGGGAAGGCTCATCAGCTGATTCTTCCTGGCTCAGCACCTCACGCTGAAGAAGGTTGGAAAGTTGCAACAGAACAGGAGCTCTGTTGGATCGGTTGACTGCAGTCTCTGTCGGCCTGGGATGTGGTCGAGGTCGCGTTTGTAGGACGATACTGTAGCCAGATCGACCTGGAATAGGCTGGCCAGGATGTAGCTGAACAGAGCTGTATTGTCCGGTGCATTGAAGATGTGCACGAGGTCCAAGGCATTCTTCATGTATGCCAAACACACGCAGGAGATTGTCAATGAGAATGTGTTCATGCGTAGTGATGGCAAGCTGTTGAAACGCAGGACGTCTTCCTCGAGAGTCAATCCACGAGACAACGCTAGTAACCCAGACCTCATTCGGATGCTGGATGAGAACAACATGGGCAATGGCTTCATGGCGATGAGCTGGAGGTGGTGGGGTGACAAGATGAACTTCAATCACAGCACCTTCCACTATGTGGTCAGCCCAAGCTCTTCTGATATGCTCTTCCCAGTTGTGAAAATCATCATAAAGTCGTACACTTCGAGCAACGCGTCCATGGGGAGCATGCCATCGATGGTCCACGAACCAAACCAAGATAACACAGGAAGGAGATTCATCTTCCCACGCAAATGCATTGTCAGTCCAGAGGACATGAAGGTCTTGCGTAAACTCAGACATGGAAGCCACAGCCCAAGGTAATCCTGGCACAAAAATAGGCGCTGCTGCATTTAAGGCATGTGCCTCACAATGCGCGTCAGGAGCAGGCGGTTGTGCTACCTGCGGAGGCCCTGGCTGTTGCATGATGCTGGTTTCATCAACAAGCTGCATTTCTGCTGCATGGATTTCAATATGCGAGCCATGCCGAGGAAAAAGGGGTCGATCATCCTCAATGGGGTGGCTGCCAGAAAAACCCACACAGAGAAGAATTTGTCTTCGGCATGCATCAAATAGGTCCGCAAAGTGCAAAAACCTTTGAAAGGAGAGCCAGTGCGGAACAACTTGAGCAAAGCGATTGCTAAGTTCACTATCTTGTCCATGCCAGAAGACACTGATCAAGGTACCTCTCACAGTTGGTCCGAGGCCTTGATGGAGTATCAAATGTCCGCCATGGTTGTCAGGGGTGACCGGTGGGTACACCAGGGAAACATGCAGTTGTGCCGCTGGGTCAACTCGATCATGCCAACGTTGTCGAAAGAGCGCTTCCCATCTTTCAAGATCAGCAGGAAGGGCAACAACTCGATACGCATCACAACGTGGCCATCTGTCACCGTTCAAGAACCACGTGACAAATTTGACTTTGGTTTCTCCATCCTCAGTGATGATGGCCGTCGAAATGCTTGCAGCAGATCGCCATGATGTAACAAGATCCTCTTGTTCTGCAGGGAAACGATCAATGGCTACTGGATCCTCCAGGATGTCCTCCGGAGCAGTGATGGGCATGATGGAGGTGGTCGTCTCTTCATCCTCAAGGACACGCATTGAAGTGGTCAAACATCTTTGCAAGTCCGCAACCTGAGAATGCAGACCAATTTGATCAGCCTTTTGGGTTTGTATCATCCAATGATGTGTCCAAAGCTGGGTCTCATCAGTCTCATCCAGGTTGCGTAGGCGCCGAACTGAAAGGGCAAGTTCAGACTCAGTCATGCTACGAAATTGGACTCGAAGACCAAGACCTTCATGAAGATGTAGCGGAAGTTCACGTGTTTGAACAATACTGCCGACCAGGATTTCACAAAGGATAGAGTGCCGAAGTCCAAATTGCGTACAAACCTCAGCAAGTCCAGCAGAATGCAAAAGATCCTCAGGAGTGCAAGGCACAGCCATGGAGAGGGCAATCTCATTGTGTGTAGTGAGCGTCTCGACTCTGGGATGTGAAACCAGACATGCAGCGCGTCCTGGAACAGGGTGTTGAACCACAAGCACAGTTGCGCTCGTACCAATGGTGGGACCATAGGTTGGTTGTGGGGAAACGAAGACCAGCTCAAAAGCACCAGGATCAAGGAAATCTTCCCACATGAACCTGATGTCAGCCTCCCACGTCTCGAAGTCAGTGTCAAAACGCAAAGGCCGTGAGGCTCTATTGGAATGATGGTGCCGATGCGAGATGTAGTGAGATCGAAGATACATGATGGGACCTTCTTCTGCAAATTCAACAACTCCATGCGCAACCAATAAATCCCAAACTTCATGCACCCATGTAGGCTGGTCAATGCCCGGCGGCCTGTCAAAGGCTCCTTGTGTGGGGTCGGCTAGACGTTGAGGATCACCAGCAGGAGGATCAGCATCATCATCAACGCTCATCAAGACCGGCAAGGGAGTAGTCCCAGGTCCATTGAAGTCACAAACTTTCAAAAAGAGCATGGGATCCATGTCAAGTGGCAGGGTGCGAAGGATGCCATCGTGAGAGACATCAGCTGAAACTTGCAGTCCTGCCACAAAATCCGCAGACTCCTCTGTGGTGTCATCGCATTGGAAATCAGAATCATGTTCTCCAATGAGAATCCTCATGTAGTCGCCATCGTTCAAATGGAGCGGTTCAGCGAAGTCGTCAGCAATGAGATTGTTGTTGTACCAAAGCCAGCAGCGCTCTCGATGGGTATCCAAGAGAGGTTCCAAATCAAGCATTCTGAAGACAGAACGCCTGTTGATCGTCTGTGGCAACCACCTGGCAAATCTTCGGAAAGCCCCAGGCAGAATCTCATTGGGTTCATAGATCTCCAAATCAACCAGAACAAGGCGTAGGAATGATGAAGGCCGCCGTTCCGCTTGAAGTCGAACCAAAATACAATGGAGGTTTTGTGAAACAAGATCTGTTGGGCGTGCAAGCACATTGTGATGATCCAGAACTTCGTCTGGAGAAGTCACCAAGGCTTGCGCAATTTGTTGGCCAACGTCATCATCAGCAGCACTGGAGAGTCGCGCAGGAATCATGCGACCATCCAAGAGAACCAAAACTGTTTGCTGCCAAACCACTCTGGGTGATGAAGACGCCAAACTCAAAGAAGAACTTGTTGCCGGTGAAGGGGAGGCCACTGATGGTGTGGTACTTGCCCTTGGTGGCCCAGGACGTCGGGCCATGAATGAAACTTTGTCATCTTCTTCACGGGAACTTCGAAGATGCCATGGTTTGTCCGACCATTCAGATAAGGTATCATGGTGAACATGAACAGCATTGAACTCAATGTCCACCTCCGGGCCCATGAGCAACTGCACAGTGGGACAGAATGAAACCTTGTGAGAGGTCGTTTTCTTGCGCAGGGAAAGAGCAAAAATGTCTGTGCGTAGGTGAGCTGACGAACCCAATTCAGCTGCTACCTCAGACGCAAGCTCAATTGCCCGCCATTCTGAGAGAAAGTCTCTTTCAAATGTGATGGAATGTGACCATTGCAGAGTCGCAGCTAGGGGATCCATCCGTGCTACCGGCTCTGCAGGTGGCTGAGGCCACTGGTGCGCATACAAAGAAGTCATGTCACACCGGCCTAATGAAAAGAAGCTCCACCACCTGGTCCACCATCGCCCAGGCCATCTTCTTTTTCCGTGCGCGGACGCTTGACCCGCTGCTCGAGCAAATCGGCCGATGCCGATAGTTCGGCAAGGCTGTTCACAATCATGTTCATGCCCTCGTGGATGCGTTGCGCTCCAGGGTCTGATTGATCTGCCGCCACATCTGCCATGTCGTCTCGAAGATCGATCTCTTCCTCGTCGTCCGAGACCTGAATGGCATCTCCTTGCTGAGCATTCTCCCTTTTGGAGGCTAGGTCGAAGCGCTTCTGTGCTTTCCTCACATTCAGTCTTGCTACCTGAATGCTGGCTTGATGAGCCGATTCGGAGGCCTGGAACTGGGCAGAAAACTCCCGCCATTTGACCACCGATTGCTGAAGGAAATTCTTCCATTGTGACAGAAGCTGGGCCTTGGCACTCTCGGCTTCTATCAAATCTTCTTTTGCCTGCCCCAAAACTTTGACCGCAACTCCAAGCTCTTTGGTATTGTCTCTTTCGTCCTGCTTCTGCATGGTGTGAGCCATCTTCTGGAGGTCTGATGTGAGGGAGTCTTCGTCCTTCTTCATCTGCTTCAGGAGACGGTTGAGATTTGCCTGAGCTTTGCCCTCTTTCTTGACCTCTTCGGCAGTCTCTGGTGGCACCCCAGCTCCTGTGGGAAGAGCCGGAACAGGCATCATCTGCAGGGTTGGCGCCCAATGCCCTGGGGGCCCTGTCAAAGCTGTCGGAGGTGGAGAAGGCAAAGTCATAGGTTGCGGTACAGTCGAGCCCTTGCCACCACCTTTGTCTGGGGGTGGTGGGACAAACGGGGCAGTCATGACTTGTTGTTGTGGATATTGCTGTGGATATGGCATCATCATGGGCATCATCTGCTGCGCAGGCATCATGGGTCCCTGCATAGCATCGTAGCCCTTGCCCTGGCCCTTGGAGTGCCAGTGATCCCCAGCATTGTTTTTGTTCTGCTTCTTCTTCTTGGATCTTGCCCTCGGACTCCTGCTTCCTGAATCCTGCCATGTCGCACCATTCCACGGCGGTGGCTGCCCCGAAACCTGGTTGTAGGTCTGGTGCTGGGTGCGATGCTCCGGCGGGATGAAGGAGGTGTCGTGACAAGCATTCCATTCTTGCCCACATTTCCAACATCTTGGAAAAGAGCCCTTCATGATGACGTGACACCATGTGCAGCGCCATGAGGGTTGCTTCTGTGCCATTGCTTCTTTGTGAGCAGCAAGAAGTCGACGTAGAAAGATGGGATCTTTGGAATGATGTTTGGCCAGCCTGGCGTGAATCTGTAAAAGCTGAGCTCCAGTAAGGCACTCCACTCCTTTGCGATGTAAAAACCAACGCAGTCTCGCACGTGCCCTCTGTCTCCTCTCCGTACGGCGTGAAGCTGATGAAGTCGTTCTGCTCGTAGGGGAGGTCAGCCAAGAAGCCAGTGATCTGATCCGCCTTGACCTGAATCAAAATAAAGGCAAGGAAGAACTGAAAGGCCGAAAACATACACAAGGAAGAAGAGCAAGGCCAGAAAGTGGTCCCCGCAGCGAATTGCACCCGGGAGTTTTAAGAGTCCGGGACCTCTCACAAAAGGTGATGCCACGTCCGGTGGCAGAGCACTTGCAAGCAGGCACGCACCAGGGAGAACCAGTTCAGTGCGGCCGCCAGTCAGCAAAAGGCGCAGGAAATGGCCCGCGGGAGGGTCCAACAAACTCCCGCTAAGGTACGGTTGAGGGACGTGGGCCACTGCAGCCAAACCTTATATAATTATATATATATGTGTGTGTGTATGTAGTTGTTTTCTTATTTTAATATGGCTACCCCAAACCATTGCAGGTCCAATTACAAGCAATAACTTAAGGATGACACAATTATATTATATAGGTAGCATGACTTAGAATTTTCTTTGATCGTTTCGACATCTTTCGACATTTTCTCTGGCAGAATTCTCCGGTGTTCGTCGTTTTGTCGTCCCGTCCTCCTCATCAAAGCCCATGTGTCCCATGAACACTTGAGGGCCATTGAAGGGTCCAGCGCCTCCACGGCCCTCGCCTGGGATGGGATGGAGGGTTTGTTCAATGGATCTGTTGGTTGAAGATCACTGTGGATCAACATACACAACGTGATACTCAAACTCCGTTAGATGGCCGTTAATCTAATCATACACAATATCCATGGATCCATTAGTTTCTGGGCAATATAGCTAAGCTATCATCATACACAATGCTAACGGAATGGGAGAAACATGGAGAAACCACTGGATGGAATGGGACATCGAACAATTTTTTTTGGATCATGGTCTCCAAAATTCTCAGCGCCACGGCGCCATGGCTATGAAATAGAACATTAATGCAGTGTGAAGCAATCCTCAATACATAGTCTGCAAAGGGGATATTTCTGAGGATGTCCTCCAACCGTCATCATAAAATGCATAGCAGAATCCAAGAATACTCATCCCCTTCTCATATAAAAAACAACCTAGGAGTACACACACTTTCTGGTGCACTAACATATATGTTTATATCTATTCTACATATGCACAAGTTTGTCTAATCAGTCTAATCTGGATGATTTGGGGGTACCATCATGTTTGGAAACCTTCACTGGTTGGTGGTTTCAAGCCCTCTGAAAAATATGAAAGTCAGTTGGAATTATTATTCCCAACATATGGAAAGTCATAAAATTCAAATTCCAAACCACCAACCAGTTCATTCACCCTCTGGTAAACTGACAGTTTGCTATGGAAAATGGCCCAGTCGAAATAGTGGATTTTCCCATTAAAAATGGTGCTTTTCCCTAGTTATGTTAGTAAAATCACTATGTTTCATAGGTAAACCCACTATTTCTATGGCCATGTTCAATAGTTAGTTTACCAGAGGGTATATACCTCTACCATCAACGTTCATGTCTCATATCCGGAAGTCGGCCCAGTGGCGAACAATATTGCCGTCTCCAAGGCGGGGCATCTGGCGGTCAAGCAATTTTTGAGGCTTCAAAGGCAACCATGTTCTGGGATATTCAAAATGGGATTTTCAATGGATATTATATTCAGATATTTCAAGGGATTTAACATGATTTAACCATGAATAATGGGATATACCCTCTGGTAAACATACAAACAGCTATGGAAAATATGGAAAATCACTATGTTTCTTTTTGGGGGAATCAACTATTTCAATGTGCCATTTTCAATAGCAAACTGTTAGTTTACCCGAGGGTAATGTTACGGCTAGGGATCGAAAAACACATATTCATCTATTATTGCTACCCTGATGTTGTATAGATAAAGTTATAATCCCATCCCCCTAATATTAAACACCCCCCAAATGGTCAGAGACTAATGTGGAAATTTCCTATGAAACCATGGTTTCTACGGGGTGTCTTTACTATTAGGGGATGGGATTACATGAAGTTACGCATCTATGATATAGCGCACATGTATACACATGTCATATATGATTATATATATACACAGCTTGTCTGCAGCAGTATATACATATATCTATATGTATATATATAAGGGTATTTACACAGGGCTACCCCTGGTTCTAGTGAATAATAGGGTAAACCATCGCCAATTTCTACCATCCCCTATTGGCAGTTCTCGAAAAACATACCCACTACCACTGTGGGTTTACATGGTTTTACGGTACCACATTGATCTGTTCAAACACCCTTGCAACCAAAAAACAGCTCATCGACTTGAGAAACACTCTAAATGCACCCCACCCCCAGTTTCCAAAGAGTCTTGCGAATGGTGAGCTGGTGAGTCATTCCAGGAATCCACTCATAGTTTTTGAGCATGTTTTGCATAGTATGTCTTGCAGTGACCACACGCTCGGCTTGGTGACTTTATGGGATGTCCTAAAAACCAATTCCTTGCAAGCGCAGGGGTTGGATGCTCCAAGATTTCCAAGTGCATCAACTCATGACAACAGCCTGGCTAAACCATCTTGGATCACCATTTCCAGACTCAGGGTCAACCATTCGGAGAAACGATGAGAAAGTGAAATTCTGTACACTCCATCTGCATCACAACACAGACTCATTTTCGACCACCCAAAACACGACTAAACTAAGATCACCCCAAAAAAAAAAAAGCTGGAAATCATCGATGTTTCCTCATGATTTCCTCCATGTTTTTTTCATTAGGTGAACCACCATGAACCACTCAGCTGGGTCCCAGAAAAATGACCCAACTCCGGGATTCCGATGGATCCCCAGGGGATCTTCCTGGGGGATCCCTGGAAGGCGCACGTGCAAGGCGTTGCGGTTCACGAATTCGTAGACGTCATCAGAGGGCTCACCACGGAGCCTCGAACGTCGCTGGGTGAATTTTAAACAAAGTAAGCACGTGTATGCAAAAAGAAACATCACTGGTGAATATTTGCATAAATAAATATACATATCTAATATATAGTATAATATGATATAATATATATATATATATATATTATATGCTAGATACATTATAATATGTATTTAGGCACATCGTATTATATCATTCTCAGATCTCAGTAGTTGATGGGTGGGTATGAGCCATTGCATCAATGGAAGGGTATCCAAAAGCCATGCTCTTTTCGGTGTTTCCAAGTGGCTTTTATACTCATCTAATTGGTGGTTGACCTACCCCTCTGAAAAATATGAGTTCGTCAGCTGGGATGATGACATTCCCAGTATATGGAAAGTAACCAGCTTTTATAATTAATTGCTCATGATTTGGCAACTTGAGGATGCATCCTGGTGTCATGACCTTTGGCTTCTGAACCCCAGAGCCTTCGGACCAGCAACGCTTCACCCCATGCCCGGCCCAGCAGGCTGTTTTTTCTTCAAGCAATCGGGGTGCGACGGATAAACGGGCTGCTTGGCCAGCGTGATCTGTTTGGCTGGGCCAAGATGAGCCATCTTAAACTAAATGGCTGGTGGTTGAGTCACCCTCTGCAAAATGCTTTATTCGTCAGTTAGGATCAGCATCCAAAATATAAGTGGCACGTGTTGAAATAATCAAAAGAAAAACTATTTGAAACCACCAGCCAGCTAACTTTGAGCCTGTAGCTTCTCATATGCTTTCCTGGCAGCTGCTTGTTCAGCCTCCTGAAGGGGGGCCAAGGCTACACACAGCGCGGATGACTCGGACTCTGAGATACCCGAGTTGGTAATCAAACATGACTAGCAGGAAAATCCCCTGTAAATGGAGGTCTTATTGGGAAAATCACGGAAAATCATCAAACTAAAAAAGAATTTTCCAGCAAGATTGATTTGAGTGGATGGCAGTCTAAGTCTAATCCAGACTACCACCAAACAGACCATGGCATATAGATGCTGTGTTGCCACTGGGGCTGATGAAAAATGCGGGGCGACCCCTCTGTTTTCCATTGATAAATGTTCAGAAAAGGCCAAGGAATTTCAGCAATTTTCCAAACCGTTCAAAGGCAATTTTTCTGTGTTGACTCTTGGGATTTGATGTTCAAACCTCAACAACTGCCATGATATCAAAGTGGGAACATCCTGCAAACAATCCGCTTGGTTCTCCTCCTTAAAAAATGCAAACAAGCATTTGGAAATGTTTTTTCCCAAAACATTGCCAAGGCATTGTTTGTCACTAAACATTGGACACATTTCACCAGTTTTTATATCTTTCCATCACTTCCTCAATGGTCATTTCAGGATCCTAAAATGAAGGTACTTTTATCTTGTGGAGATATTCCCTTACATAGCCCTTACATAGGCCTTATATATGGTAGGTACCTCCAATCAATCGGTTCCTGAGATGGCCAGTGACTTCCCCCCGAATCTTACTGTCCAAACGAAACCAGGGTGGGAGGTGGGTCATGACTTAGGCGCCCCCTCGACCCAGCGGGGTCCTTCTTGTTCAGACATTGGTCTGAAGATTCGCAGCGGTCTCCATCGGGCAACTGGACCACCACACGGGCCACCCATCCTGCCTCTTCCTGAGGCGGATGGCAAGGGTTACCCGATGTGGGAGATACTCATAGGAATGTCACCAAAAAAAAACGCATATGTTATACAACCATATACAACCAATATCAACCAATATTGCTAGTGAACGATGATCTGTTATGATGCGTCTCCAAACGGTCTCAAGGTCATGGAATTGATGATTTCCCACGTTGTAAACCATGATGTGTGGCAAACTTGGCAGTAAAGTCGGTATAATTCATACGCGCACACATCCCAAATCTGGCACGTCGATTCTCAAACCATCAGTGCATGTTGTGATATAAGTGTTGTGAACCTAAGGCTGGCAAATTTTGACGTTCAAATGTTTCTCTGTTCAGGTATCCCTCATTATCCCTCTACATCAGGTAGGGTGCGCTGCCAAGCGCTCGAACATTCCTCGGGCAAGTTTTACAACTACCAAACGTTCATCGCAGTTCTGAAATGTGTCGTGAAGATGGTAGACGGTTATCTTCAAAGAAATAGTGCTGGGCATTATCAACATGTATCAAAATTCATCTGAATGGCCAACAAATAACCCATGACATCCTAGCCCCCCGGAAAGTCTAGCATGTCTAGCGAGGAGGCTGCCAGGTGTCCATTCGGGCTTCGTATTTCAGCAACTCGTTGATCGACATGTGTGGGAAACGCCGTTGTAACAGCTGTTGGAGCTTGCTCCTTGGCAAAGTACGGTTCACCAACAAGGGGTGAAGACAACCACCTAGGCATAGAGCTGAGTTCTTCGTGGTCAACGAGTGGTACCGGTGCAAACGCTACCAAGTTGTAAGATTTCAAATTCCCTTCTTTGAATTCCCAAAGCATCCCAAACCAATTCAGCCTCCTCCTTTGCCGACGCGGATGTCTTGACTAGATGATTTGCAAAAAGTGGGCAAACAGGTTCTCGCGATCCCCCTTCTCATCGACCTGTCAGCCCCAATCAACCTGCTGTCAATCAGCCTCCCATTCTCCCGACCTATTTCTTGAGGATGTTGCCACCCCCATGCTGCAAAGCTGCTCCTCCAATATCATTGGCCAGCCAGTCCATAAATTGCTATTGCGCAGGCGTCTCCAACAATTCCGGGAAAACAAGTGAAAACACACAAAAGATGAACTGCTCCAAATCGGGTTACCAGCATCCCACCACTCGAGAATATTCACAACGCATTGGAATTCTGATTTCCTCATTTCGAACTGGGGCCCATCATTGTTAAACAACATGGTTAAACCTCCAGGTTGCCACCCTCTCCCCATAGCCAAGAGTCTTAAAATCCCCAGCCATTCCGCTCTGAGTAGTGCGTTCAAATTTGCCATTGATACGCAAAGCAGCTTGTCGGGGCGTAAGTGGACACACGCTCTTGGTGAGTCTGAGCTGAAGCCTGGGATAAAGAAGGGTTGAGGCTAGGATTAAATTGGCAATTCAACCTTGGCCCCCTGGGAATGAAGCGCTATAGAGAAGATGTTGGTCTGGTGCTTGATTGTGAAATCTTCAGTCTTTGATGGTCGAATACCCAATGTTTCATCGTCAATTTCGAACATACCATATGACAGTCAAAACCATATGTTTACTGAGTTTACTGTTCAATCCAATGTAATTTAGACTGTCAAACAAAAACTATTTGAATATATGTCAGATAGAATGCCAAGGCATATAATATAAGATGTAATGTCAGAATATATGTGTTAGATAGAATGCCAAACAACATGTCAGATGGAAAAGCCAGACAAAATGTCAGCTGAAACAGCAGTTGGTGGGCATCACTAGTTGCATCGAGATCTACACAGCTCGACATTTACTTGATGGTCCCATAGGTTCCAATCTTGAATAATTTCATGGTTACCCTCTGGTAAACATACAAACAACAAAAAACTATTGAAAATCACTCACCATGTTTTTTTTGGCAAATCAACTATTTCGACTGGGCCATTTTCAATAGCAAACTGTTATATAGTCATTAACAGAGGGTAAATGTGTTGAAAATGGGGTGCCGAACTTTGCCAGATCCCAGCTTCGCGGAGGGTAAGTTTTGTTCATTGAGGCATTTCTGCTCACGAAGCCAGACCGCCACAGTGTAGAAAACCTGGAGTATGGAGGTTTCGAAAAATCCCACTGGATCAAGATGAAGCTTTCTCCATTTTTGGGCTAGTCACATGCGAATTTTGGTTGGTTAAGAGCTAACAACATTCACTCCATGATGCCTAACCTTCTGCTACCCATCAAAATCATCAGCTTTTGGTGGACTATACTCTTCTATATTCCTGCAATTTCCTGCAGTACAACCGAAAAACAGGAACCACTGAACCAAGCATTGATTAAGGTCCCACGCCAGTGGCCCGACTCATACACGCTGGGGTGGTAAGGCTTGCAGCCGTGGCCCAAGCGTAATTTACAGACACACACAGACACAGAGAGAGAGAGAGAGAGATAGATAGATAGATATATATATATATACGTACGTACATGATGTGTTTGTGCACACTGATATAGGCGCATCTAAATATTACGTATGTGTGTGCATGTGTGTGTGCATGTGTGGAATTGGGTATTTGTCATTGACTGTAGATGTATATATATATAGTATAAGTATAATACATGAGACCTTAATTAAGGTATTCACGCTGAGAATATGTGAGAATCATCTACAATCTACAATTTGCAGGTACAAGGCCAGCAGTGGGAAGGAAGCGGGTGATTTATAAAAACACATAAAGACCCCAGGACCACAAATGTGTTTTCTTTTTCGCATTAACAAAAGATACTGAGAAGCCGAAAAACATGACGCAACCGAAGCTCGAACATTGAACCCTTTGTGATATTCAACTCACTAACAAGATCTTCCAAGATCTATAACAAGTCAATAAGATTCAATAAGTCACCTCCACTAAAGATTCTTTGTACAACTCGTATCTGCTAAATTCTGGGAAGGGTATGATATTGGCTTTTGCCGATGGCTTTGCCTTGGCTCCAACCAAGACACCCGCAGCTTGACTCGGTCCAAGCGAGAGAGTTTTTTGAGGCGATCCTGTGGTTCGACGTCATCGAGCCGAACATTACCCCATTGCCTAGGCCGCGGTGAGCCAACAAATCAACCAAACCCATGGATCCATGTATGGCATATATATATATATATGCTAACATTTGGGGTATATTGATGGTAAATGTTACCATATATATGGCATACATGGATCCTATGGGAAAGGTTGACCTTCAAACATCGCGCTTGTTGAAAACAAATCTGGTTGGTGGTTGACCTACCCCTACCCCTCTGAAAAATCATGGAGTTAGTTCGTCAGTTGGGATGATGACATTCCCAATATGATGGGAAAGTCATAAAATTCCATGGTTCCAGTCACCACCAACCAGTTATTATATAATTATATGTTAACTTTTATGTACTTATCGCAGTTCTTGATGGCTCAAAAACCCCATTAACATCCACCCATCATAAGCCATCCATCATGGGGGAATCCCTGAATCCAGCTCCGTTGCAGTCCGTTGCAGCATGTTGCAGCTCAGTGGCCGCCTGACTTCATCGTCTTTAAAGATCTTCACACCCTGGGGTGTCGGAATTTGGAACGTCAGCGGCTCCATCACCTGCCGAAAAACGGCTGGAGGATCTGCTAGTTATTCCATGTTATTCCAGCAGTCATGACATGTCATGACAAATACTATAAGATACGGTAGTATAGTACTATAGAACACGATAAAACATGATAAAATACTACCATCTGGTTATTTAACATTGCCATGGAAAATCACCATTTTTAAGTTCGGTAAACCATCTATTTCTATGTGCCATCTATACCATGTCTATGTTAGTCATAACCAGAGGGTAGACTATAAAGTGATAATGTGGATAGAACATGATCGAACTACCATGGGGAATGGGGAGTACACGAAAAAACACCTCATTTCCTATCGGCAAAGCTGAAGATGCAGCCAAAGCTTATCAAACCTTTGCTGAAATAAATTGTGTAAAGCATACAGTACCCTCTGGTAAACTAACATAGCTATGAGCATGGCCATTTATAGTGGATTTTCCCATTAAAAATTGTCATTTTCCATGGTTATGTTATATAGTTTACCAGAGGGTATATGAAAGGCGCATCTCACTGTAGAGTATTGTTTATCAAAGCCAGGCCCGGTAGCAACGTATGGGTCAGTCGTGGCCAATTTTGCAGGCAGGCTCCTGTGAATCCCATCATCTCAGCTTCTTGGAAGATACACATGAAAATAACGAAGCCTTCTAGAAATATCATGAAATATCACATCTGGTTGGTGGTTTTCACCATCTTGAAAAAATGAAGGTCAATGGGAAGGATGACAACCCATATATTATGGAAAATAAAAAATGTTCCAAACCACCAGCCAGACACAGTATGTAGGATGTCTTTCAGAAAAGGCCTGCACTTGTCCTACAACTTTCAAGAATATGAAATCATGACCAGGTGCAGCCAATTCACAAACACATCCGCAGAGAAAGAAGGTCCCAAAGCTTGCTGACACCACTTGGTGACAATATCCTCGGGCTCATGGGTGGCATCTTATCCCCAAAGGGTGATTGGATGCCGTTGGAAGCAACTGGATATGTCAGGCTGGAAGGTGGGATGCATCTTTTGATGCAACGCTAATAATCATAGCAGCTACATGCCCAACATTCTTCCAACTCGTGAAGCCTGGCAATGATGTGGGGCACACACATGGAAGGCATGGCTGTAATGATATCTGTTATACACAAGGCAGGGCCAAACGTATTTTGCCCGTGACTTCCAAGAAATGTACCGAAGCCCAGGCTAAAACTGCGTCCAAGCATCTTGGCAGTTAAAGAGGTCGATTTGCTGGCCATCATTATGTGGATACCTTGACAGGGCCCAGCCCTGTTAAATTGCTGTATTAGATTCAATCTTAGTGGACAAAAGGGGAACACCTCAGACCTACCTTCAGCTCAACAGCGCAGCGAGCAACATGCTCGCAGCATCCCATCCTGAACTACAACACCTCACCAGCCTGGAACCAGGTAACTGTTAGCTGCTGCTCGTGTTGAATCACTTCATCAGCTGCACTCAGCTTCAATTGATCTTAGTAAGTGGTTGGGAAGCCATGCCTGATCTCTATGACCAAAATGCTGCTCCCCAGCTCTAATAGCCAAGGTGCACACCGGGGATCGCTTGCACACTTGTGAATTGCAGCTGCGTTCGATGCTCATCAGTCAACGCCAAGCTCTGGTCTTGTGCCACGGTCTTTAGGACTTTCCTTTGGGCCACGTGCCAGCTGGAAAAAGAACATGATCTGTGGCACAAAGTGCAAAAGCCTCTCTGTTATGACGAACATGTTTTCGTGCAACCAGCTTCTATATTGAAACCTTGGAAGAAGGAAAGCCCTTCTTAAAGATTGTCAACGCAAAAGAAACCTTTAATGCTTGTAGTGGTCATTGAGAAGCCAACAACAACGCAAAAGAAACACACAATGCCAAGCCCTGACTGAAAACTCCATAGGGTTCTTAGGGTTGCGGCAGCAGTGACATTTTTTGTTTATCATTCCAGGAGTTTGCTCAACCCAGGCTTGACATTGCCAATTGAAATGTGTCTGAAGCAAACTCTCAGATTTCGCTTTGCTAACCTCAGCAGCGATGGTGCCCAACACTGCAAAAAGCTGTTGGACAGCATGGGGCCCCCTGACAACAGAAATCCGACTTTTTGGGGAACAATATGATAAACCATAGGGCCCATGGGTACCAAGTTTTGAGAAGTATATTAAATATTTCAATGTCCGAGTGGAGTCATTCAGACTCACTCTGGTGACACAATGTAATATACCCTCTGGTAATTTAACATAGCTATTGAAAATGGCCATAGAAATAGTGGATTTTCCCATTAAAAATGGTGATTTTCCATTGCTATGTGACAGTTCACCAGAGGGTATATGTAATGCAGGAAACAGAACATGGCATTGGCATGGATGAGTGCCCCGAGCTGGAGCAATTCAGGTGGTCCTCCCTCGTGACTGGTTTACATAAGGGCTCAAAAACAAACCGGACACCAGGAAACCGTTGTTTTCGAAAACACTACGCATTTCATGAACACGTGGATTTTGTACAGTTTATCCCTTCAAGCAACTCTGGGCCGTGGGACCTATCAAATTAAGGGTGTGGAATGGTTTGGATATGCTTGGATTAGTCCCAGCATATTTGACCAAAGAAAGTAATTATATAATTTGAATCTGGGTTCAAGGACAGCCCGAAACGATTGGTAAGAGGTAGCTTGTAGCGCCAGAACTGTATCTTGCTACGAACTTCCATCAACCTCCCATATCCCCAACTAGTGAAATAAGTGCTATGTTCCATGGTACCCCGTCAAAAAAACAGCAGACACCCCATGATGCTGACATGGTCATCTAGGGTTTACATTACCAAGCAACCTCTTCATCCGGATCATTGTTGAAATAGTAGATGCGCGCCACCTCCGCACGAGCTCGGCCACTTCCTTGTATATGATCCTTCGTCGTGTGAATCCTAGACCGGCATCGGCAGTGTCACCACATCGCTGTTTAAGGAGGTACCACTTTACTACCACATCCCCCAAATAGGAGGCGTATCCCCGACTTCAACCAGTGTCTAGCAAAATCCTTGGTTGACATTACTTCAGTGCGATAGTAACATCGATAGAGCAGGACAAACGTTAAAGGACAATCCAAGCTGATGCCAAGCATCTTATCGAAGCGAACCACCTGGGTGTACGCCACCAAAACTGGCTTGGGCTTGGGGACGTCTTTACATGGGTCAGAAACAACCAGGAAGGGAGGGCCCTCAATGTCACCACCAAATCATATATATCCGCCGACCCCGGCCGACGCAAGGGGGAGCGCGTAAGGGAAGAAGATGGAAATTAGGTGGTGTTTTGCTGTTTCGGAAGCGTTTCGAAACAGTAGGCCCAGCCATAATATTGTTTAGGCGATTCTGGGGGATTCGGCCGAAACAGCTGGCCCAGCTACCGGAGATTCTGGGGGATTCGGCTGAAACAGTTGGCCCAGCTAGGATTCTCGAAGTAGGATCTAAACTAGGATCTAGATCTAGATCTAGGATTCTCTAGGATTTCAGAAGGGACGTTAGGCAGGTTTCTGTAATATTGTTTAGGCGATTCTAGGGATTCGGCCAAAACAGCTGGCCTAGCTACCGGAGATTCTGAGGGATTCGGCTGAAACGGCTGGCCCAGCTAGGATTCTCGAACTAGGATCTAAACTAGGATCTGGATCTAGATCTAGGATCTGGATCTAGATCTAGGATTCTCTAGGATTTCAGAAGGGACGTTAGGTAGTTTTCTGCCGCGATTTTTCGTTATTTTCGGCACGAAATTAGGTGGTGTTTTGCTGTTTCGGAACCGCTTCGAAACAGCAGGCCTAGCTGTAATATTGTTTAGGAGATTCTGGGGGATTCGGCCGAAGCAGCTGGCCTAGCAAGGATTCCCGAAGCCGCGATTTTTCGTTATTTTCGGCACGAAATTAGGTGGTGTTTTGCTGTTTCGGAACCGCTTCGAAACAGCAGGCCTAGCTGTAATATTGTTTAGGAGATTCTGGGGGATTCGGCCGAAGCAGCTGGCCTAGCAAGGATTCCCGAACTAGGATCTAGATCTAGATCTAGGATAGATCTAGAGATCTAGATCTAGGATTCTCTAGGATTTCAGAAGGGACGTTAGGCACTTTTTTGGCGTGGTTTTGGAGCTAGTTCGTCCTTCAGAGCCATGGTGTTTTCCTGCCGGGAGCTGCTTTTATGCTTTTTTCGAAGTTGTTTTCGGAAAAAGGTTGTTTTTCTAGGATTTCAGAAGGGACGTTAGGCACTTTTTTGGCGTGGTTTTGGAACTAGTTCGTCCTTTAGAGCCATAGTGTTTTCCTGCCGGGAGCTGCTTTTATGTTTTTTTCGAAGTTGTTTTCCTGCGAGCGGGCGCAGGCAACAGAAATTCTCGAAAAATGTTGTTTTTCTAGGATTTCAGACGGGGCGTTAGGCACTTTTTTGGCGTGGTTTTGGAACTAGTTCGTCCTTCAGAGCCATGGTGTTTTCCTGCCGGGAGCTGCTTTTTTCGAAGTTGTTTTCCTGCGAGCGGCCGCAGGCAACAGAAATTCTCGAAAAATTGTTTTATGTTGTTTTATGTTGTTTTTCTATGTTGTTTTATGTTGTTTTTCTAGGATTTCAGAAGAGACGTTAGGCACTTTTTTGGCGTGGTTTTGGAACTAGTTCGTCCTTCAGAGCCATGGTGTTTTCCTGCCGGGAGCTGCTTTTATGTTTTTTTCGAAGTTGTTTTCCTGCGAGCGGGCGCAGGCAACAGAAATTCTCGAAAAATGTTGTTTTTCTAGGATTTCAGACGGGACGTTAGGCACTTTTTTGGCGTGGTTTTGGAACTAGTTCGTCCTTCAGAGCCATGGTGTTTTCCTGCCGGGAGCTGCTTTTTTCGAAGTTGTTTTCCTGCGAGCGGCCGCAGGCAACAGAAATTCTCGAAAAATTGTTGTTTTTCTAGGATTTCAGACGGGACGTTAGGTACTTTTTTGGCGTGGTTTTGGAACTAGTTCGTCCTTCAGAGCCATGGTGTTTTCCTGCCGGG